GGCAATTTTGTATTTCATTCATTTTACCACATAATTTTTGGGGGCTCAGCCGGGATTTGAACCAGACAAATTGACTGTGTCGTCTGTGTTGAACAAGTTGTGTTGAGTTGAATACACTGTGTTGAGTTGGATACACTGTGTTGAGTTGAATACACTGTGTTGAGTTGAATACACTGTGTTGAGTTGGACTGTGTTGAAATTGAGTTGCATTTGTGAAGAGAGTTGAATTTGAAGAATCTACCAAGATGTCAGATACGGGAAATGATACAATAGTTGATGTTACACTGCAAGGTAGCTCTGCCAGTGACAGGCTGAAGGCCGTAGAATCGATGAAACTGGTTGAATTAAAAGAAGAATTAAAGAAACGGAAACTGAGGACAAGTGGAAACAAGAGAGAATTGCAAGATCGACTAAGAGCAGCGTTGACATTAGAAATCGAGCATGGTGAAGATGAAGATGAAGGTGAATGTGATGAAGATGAAGACGAGCGTGGGCAGGACTGTGTCAGGGAGTGCACGAGGCGCATGCAGGTTTTAACGTTTAGGGATGTTGAAGAGTCCATAAATACGTTCAGTGGCGACAATAAAGAAAATATTCGTTGTTGGCTGCAGGAGTTCGAAGATATGGCGGAGTTATGCGAATGGAGTGATGTGCAGAAGGTAATATATGCGAAACGACTGCTTCGTGGATCAGCCAAAATGTTCGTCAATTATGAAAAGTGTTGTCGTAAATGGTCTGAGATGAAGCGAGCGTTAAGATCAGAGTTTTCGCAAGTTGTAGACGTGCACAAAATTCACAAAGAATTGTCTCGGAGAATTAAGAAGTCTAATGAAACATATCAGGAATATGTATATCATATGTTGGAGATAGCGAAACAGGCAGATATGGAGGTCTCAGCGGTCATTAAATACATTATCGACGGAGTACAAGACGAAGAATCGAACAAAATGATATTGTATGGAGCGAGAAGCATTCGTGAATTGAAGGAGAAGTTCGAGTCGTACGAGACTATGAAGGAAAATTCAAGAACGAAGAGCCGACGGACTGAAGAGAAGACGAAGAAGACAATCCGTGGAACTACAGCGCAGGAAAACGTACGAAGATGTTTTTTGTGTGGAGACCGGAATCACTTAAGTGTAGATTGCCCGACGAAGAGTAAAGGTGCTAAATGTTTCAAGTGTAAAGAGTATGGACATATTGCGCCTGAGTGTGGCGGTGTGAAAAAACCTGTAAAAGATGTGAGTAGTACGTCAGAGGAATCACGGAAAAAGCGTGTTAAGGATGTGCAGATCGAGCATTGTAAGTTAGTAGCATTAATTGATTCTGGTAGCGATTTAAATCTAATGCGAGCAGACCATTATATTAAAATTGGAGCGCCTAAATTGAATAATAGAATTTTGCAATTTCGTGGCGTAGGAACAGGGAAAAATTACACAATGGGAGAATTTCTAACTAATATTCTAATAGACGATACAACCTATTCAATAAATATACATGTTGTGCCTGATGCATTGACACCGCATGGTTTGATAATAGGTACTGATTTTTTAGACTCGGTAGAACTCACCATGAAGGGAGGAGAAATTTTGATTAAGAAATTAGATGTACCAGAAGTTTTTAATATCCATGTTGATAATGGAAATGAGATAGATTTGTCGCATATTTCAATTTCTGAACATAGAGAAGTAATTCAAGATTTGATTGATAGCTATGAGCCGCATAAAACTCACGAAGTAGGGGTTACAATGAATATCGTGTTGAGTGACGACATACCTGTATATCAGAGACCGCGTAGATTGTCCCCTGGTGAGAAAGTCGAAGTTGATAAGCAAATATCTGTGTGGTTAAAAGAGGGGATCGTGCAACCGTCTCATTCAGATTATGCTAGCCCAATAGTTTTAGTGAAGAAAAAGAATGGCTCAATTAGAATTTGTGTGGACTATAGACAGTTGAATAGAAAGGTTATAAAAGACAGGTATCCCTTGCCGTTAATAGAGGACGAGCTGGATTCCTTGCAAGGCGCAACAATATTTAGCACTTTAGATTTGAAGAATGGGTTTTTCCTCGTACCTGTCGAGGAGACGAGTCGAAAATATACCGCGTTTGTTGTACCTAACGGTCATTATGAATTTTTAAAAGCACCTTTTAGGCTGTGCAATTCACCTGCCGTTTTCCAGAAATTCATGCACGCAGTATTTAGAGAAGTTATAGTAGCTGGTTTTGCCCGAATATATTTAGATGACGTAATAATTTTAGCTAGGGATGTTATTAGTGCAATCAAAAATCTTAAAACTGTATTAGAAGTTGCCAGTCAATATGGGTTGTTAATAAACTGGAGTAAATGTAGCTTTTTGCAAACAAGGGTTGAATATTTGGGGCATATTATTGAAAACGGATGTGTTCGGCCTTCCGAACATAAAACTAAAGCTGTAATTAAATTTCCGAAGTTGCAATGCGTAAAAGATGTACAAAGTTTTCTTGGTTTGACAGGATATTTTAGGAAATTTATTTATGGTTATTCAATGATTGCTCGGCCGTTAACAAATTTGTTGAAAAAAGATAATAAATTCAAATTTGAGACATTAGAACAAGAAGCGTTTGAGAAGCTCAAGTTGAGTTTGAGTAGTTCACCGGTATTAAAATTGTATCGTGTAGGCGCTGAAACTGAGTTGCATACCGATGCTTCTAGTTTGGGATATGGAGCGATATTGTTGCAGCGGGATAACGTAGATGGTGCGTTTCATCCTGTGTATTATGCTAGCGGTAAAACTACACCTGCTGAAGAGAACTATCCTAGCTACGAACTAGAGGTTTTGGCGATCATAAAATCTTTAAGAAAATTCAGGGTATATTTATTGGGAATATCGTTTAAGATAGTGACCGATTGTCAAGCGTTTGCAATGACTATGAATAAGAAAGATTTATGTGTGCGAGTGGCAAGATGGGCGCTTTTGTTAGAAGAGTTTCAACATAAAGTTGAGCATAGATCGGGGAAAAATATGAAACATGTCGATGCACTGAGTAGGCATCCGTTACCTACAATTATGTTTGTTAATGAAGTTGGTGATGGTTTGATAGTTAAGTTGCGTGAAGCTCAAAACGAAGACACTGATTTGCGAAAGATTCGTGATAATATAGTGGAATACCGAGCGGATGGTTATATTGTAAAGAATGATGTTCTTTATCGAGTGCTGAATGATGTACCGTTAGTGGTCGTACCTAAGCCTATGCAGGTACAGGTAGTCCGTCGAGCGCATGAACGCGGTCACTTCGGGGTGACAAAGACCGAAATATTATTGCGAAGGGATTACTGGTTTAAGGGGATACGTCAAAAGGTAGTGAAGGTCATTCGAAGCTGCGTGGACTGCATTTTAGCTGAACGTAAGCACGGTAAACAGGAGGGACTTTTAAATACAATAGATAAAGGAGAACTACCGTTGAATACGTATCATGTCGATCACCTTGGCCCATTGCCTTCTACGAGAAAATCTTATCGACATATTTTTGCGGTTGTTGACGCATTTTCGAAGTTTGTGTGGTTGTATGCAACAAAGACAACAAATTCAGCTGAAGTGATTGCGTGGTTGAAAAAACAAGCTGTGATATTCGGAAATCCTGTGCGTATCATTTCCGACCGTGGTACAAGTTTCACATCCGACGCTTTTAAAGACTATTGTAGTAGTGAAAATATACTTCATGTGCTTATAACGACAGGAATACCGCGAGCTAATGGACAAGTTGAGAGGATAAATAGGACTCTTATACCGTTGCTTACTAAGTTGTCTTCTCCTAAGCCGGAGGAGTGGTATAAATATTTGGGAGTTGCACAGAAATATTTGAACGCCACCCCACACAGAAGCATTAATACAACGCCTTTCCATCTGCTGTTCGGAACTCATATGAGAATACGTGAAGATCCTGAAATTCGTAAATTAATAGAGGAAGAGTGGATTGCAATGTTCCAGATGGATCGTGACGAGGTACGGAAACGGGCAAAAGAAAAAATCGTTGAAGTCCAGGCACAAAATAGAAAGACATTTAACAAAAATCGTAAAGAGGCTATGAAGTATAAGCAGGGTCAATTGGTGGCAATTAAGAGAACGCAGGCTGCGCCTGGTTTAAAATTTCATGCTAAATACTTGGGACCCTATAGAATTGTAAAAGTGCTACGAAATAACCGTTACGTGGTACAAAAGGCGGGAGAGCACGAAGGTCCCCAGACAACGTCGACAGCCGCCGACCATATGAAGCCTTGGCGCATCAATGAAGAAGATGATTTTTCCGAGGACTGTGACAGTGCATGTAGTGACGATGAAAACATCTGAGGACAGATGTAGAATCAGAATGGCCGAATGTGGTAACGTAGTTTAAGTCTTAGCGTAGTTTGTATTTCTAAAGGTAGGAAGAGAGTCATAAAAGAGAAAGGCGGTGACGAAAACCAGGCCCAAGGGTCGGTTAGAGTTTTTCCGGGCGAGACCTAGGGCCCTAGCGAGGGGTGCGGGTGTGTGAAGGGCGAGGTATGGGTGTGCTTTTGCGGGATGAGGGAGACTTGAGCTGACTTTCGAGGAGAGAAGTGCGTAGTGTTTGCGAGCTATCTTGGCAATTTTGTATTTCATTCATTTTACCACAATAAAGGTAAAGCTGGTAAGGATTGGGTACTTAGATTTTTAAACCGTCACCCAGATTTAACGATAAGGAAACCTGAAATCACATCAGCAGCTAGAGCTGCTGGTTTTAATAAAGTTGTAGTCGATAAATTTTATAAATTATTAGGCGAAATTTATGATAAATATCAACTGACACCTAATCGTATTTTTAATTGTGACGAGACTGGAATATCAGTGGTTCCAAAAACGAAATGCAAAATAATAGCAAAAACGGGTCGGAAACAAGTAGGTGCATTAGTTTTCGCTGATCGAGGTGTAACGATTACAGTTGAAATATGCTTCAGTGCAACAGGGCATTATATACCTCCAATGATGGTGTTTCCTCGAAAAAGGATGAGACCGGACCTAATGGTAAATGCTTCGCCGGGTGCTTGGGGTGTATGTAGTGACTCCGGATGGATAACAGCTGAGCTATTTTTACAATGGTTTAAGAAATTTGTAGTTTTTAGCGGAGCATCAAAAGATAATCCTGTTTTGTTGCTGTTAGACGGACATTCTATTCATACAAAAAATTTCGGACTCATTGATGAAGCAAGAGCAAATGGAGTTATAATATTATACTTTCCGCCCCATACTACACATTGCCTTCAACCACTCGATGTAGCGTTTATGAAACCTTTGAGCACATATTATGATCAAACAATAACCACGTGGCTTCGTTCAAATCCAGGCCGCGTAGTTACTCCGTTTCAAGTAGCAGAGTTTGGCAAGGCCTTTACTCAGACAGCGACTATGTTAACTGCGACTAACGCTTTTAGAAAATGTGGAATCTGGCTATATGATCCCATGACGTTTACAGAGGTTGATTTTATAGCATCTGCAACAACTGATATTCCTTTGAATGACAATATAGATCCTATACCAAACGTGATCATTCCAAATAAAGACGCAATGCCCATTCAGACACTTGTAAAACAGACCACAAATCAAACAGATGATGCTCAAGCTGGTTGTTCATTTTGATCTGATGATGGCCCGAATAATAAAATACCAGAATCAGAAGAAGATACTTCCTGTCATAAAACGAAAGAGTCGTGTGTCAAGGAAACGTGGACGCACTGCTATTATAACATCCTCGCCATACAAAAATGATTTGGAAGATGTTATTAAAAATCGAAACATCGAAAAGGAAAAGAAAGAAAAAAGAACGAAGAAAAAAACATCAAATATGGCTATCAAGAAGATGAAAAAAGAAGTGAAAATAATATCAGAAGAAGACGACAGTGAAAAAGAAAATATTCCATGTTTATACTGCAATGGGTTATATTTAGATTCTGTGGAAGTTTGGATAAGTTGCCAGGGATGTGGCAAATGGGCCCATTGCTCGTGTGCTTATGTAGATGACGACGATGATGAAGCCGTACATGTATGCTTCTGTTGTCAAACCAACAAATGATTGAATAAAGACGATTTAATTAATTAGTTAATAGGTACCCCATCTTGCCCACAAGGGTACCCAGTTTTGCCCCACCCGTGAGGCAAGATGGGGAGAAAAGACCTTTCTTTGTTTTTTATTTATATATATTAATAAGTTGTAAATAGTTGAATTTTGCCTTATATAATCTATAGACTCCAATCATTAAAGAATAATAAAGAATTTAAGTGGATTCATTAATTGGACAAACCTGTGTTTTATTCATTAATAAACCTTAACTACCCCGTCTTTCCCCACTTTCCCCTAGTTAGTATGGTCTGGATGGGTTTTTCTGGGTTATCCCATTCCTAAGCAACGAATGTTGGACCATTTGTATTTTGTTCCCAGAAGTAGAGTCATAATAAAACATGAGTAAGATGATCTGTACAGTAATTTTTGTGTTATGGGTATTAAATTTTTGATAAATTAAATTAGTGTTAAGAATACCGACTTATTGGGACAACGGATAATATATATGTATTAAATTATCTGGTAAACGGACAGATAAAGAGGGCAAAAGGGAAAGTGATAGCGTTTTTCATAGACCTGAGGGCAGCATTTGACTCAGTGGATAGAGGAGCCCTGAAGGAGGCGCTAAGAGAAAGGGGAATAAGGGAAGGGCTAAGAAAAAGGATAAAAGAGATCTTGAGGGAGACCAGAAGCAGGGTAAGGACAGGCGAAGGGATAACAGAACCATTCTGGACTGCAAGAGGAGTAAGACAAGGGTGTCCACTTAGTCCATTGCTGTACAATCTGCTGACGGCAGATATGGAGGAGAAGATGAAAAAGGGAGGCGGAGGAGGGATAAAGATCGGAGGAAGGAAAATATACACTCTGGCTTACGCGGATGACGTGGTAGTTTTGGCGGAGCAGGAAGGGGATATGAGGGTGTTACTAGGGAGACTAGAGAGGTACCTGGATGAAAAGAGGCTGGAATTGAATCAGGAGAAATCAAAAATAATGAGATTCAGAAAAGGGGCGGGAAAATGGAAGAAAGTTGAGTGGTGGTGGAAAGGAAAGAAAATAGAGGAGGTAGGCCAGTTTAAATACCTGGGGTATGTATTCAGGAGAAACGGAGGCAGCGAACTACAGGTGAAAGACAGAATCAAGAAGGCAGGAATTGCGATGAGACAAGTATGGGGGATAGGAAAAAGAAGATTCGGAAAAAACTGGAAGAGAAGAATTTGGCTATGGGACAAGCTAGTATGGACAATCATAGCATATGGAGCGGAAGTATGGGGATGGAGGGAGTGGGGTGAGATAGAGAGGGTACATGAGAGATTCCTGAGATGGACATTGGGAGTGGACTGGCGGACGCCAGGATATCTATTAAGAGAAGAACTGAAAAGATGGAAAATGAGAATGAGAACCGGAAAGAGGGCATGGGATTATGAAAGAAAGTTATGGGAAGGGCGAGGGGGAGACCTGGCGAAGAGCTGCTGGGACCAGGTAATTAGAAATGAAATGAGGAGGGGAGAGGGAAGCAAATGGGAAGAAGAAAGGAGGAAGTTCTTCGAAGAGAGGGGACTGAAATTAGAGAAACTGGAAGAGAAAAGAAGCAGTGGAGAAATGGGATATGAGGAACTGGAAGAAAGGGACAAGCAGATGCAAGAGGAGGAAAGATGGGAAAAGATAACCGAATCGAGGTACAACAGGTGGTATAAGATCATTATAGAGCCAGGAATACCGAGATATCTGGAAAAAGGATGGAAGGAGGAAAGATGGAGAAGAGTAGCTAAATTTAGATTGGGAAACGAGGTAAAGGAAGCAAAATACTGGGAAAAAGAAGAGGAAAGGAAATGTAGATTATGTGGCTGGGAAGAAGAAACATGGGAGCACATATGGGAAAGGTGCGCTGTCGGAGGAGAAGAAAGAAAAGAAGGATGGCAAGAGAGAGTGAGAGAGATGCTGGGAGGAAGTGGGGAAGGAGAAGATTGGATGAAACAGCTAGAAAAATACAGGACGGAAACTGGGGAAGGAGAAGAGACGCGGAGTGAGAAACGGTGAGAAGTATGACGGCTAATGATAACAAGAAAGAAGGACAGAAAAAGAACAACAGATGACGTAGGAAAGAAAAGAAAAGAAGATAGAGACAGAGCGAAGGAAGGAAGATCGGTAAGGAAGTGCACGATAAGAGCAAGCAAGGGAAGAGGAAGAAAGGGAAGGGGAAGAGAGGGGCATGGTAAGTAGTAGAAATATAAGAAGCGGAAAAAACGAGGTTGGCACCACTGGAAATCAAGTGGTGTAAGAAAAGGTGTAGTGGCAACACAAGAAAAGATAGGTTGGCAAGACGGGATAAGTGCGTGGTACGAAAAGAAGCACGTGTCGAAGAGAAAACAAGGGCAAAGAACAATAAAGGACCTTGGCGAAGCTGTACAAAGGGGAAAGGAAGGAAAAGTCTAGAAAAGAGAAAAGTTAAAGGCAGGACAAGACTAGTAAGGAGGGAAGGGGAGGCACTGAGGTGAAGAAAGGTTAAAGATATGGAGAATCAAGAGGAAGTGCTGAGGGAGCTGAGAGGAATTAGAGAAGAAGTAAGGAACCTGAGAGAAGAAATAAAAGAATGGAGGTTGGAAAGAGGAACAAAGAGAGAATGGAAGGAAAAGCAGGAGAGTGCAGAAGAGATAGAGAAGAGGAGAAGAGGATTGGGGGAAGAAGGATGCAAGAAAGAAGAAGAAGACGAAGCAGAAGGAGGAGGGTGGGAAAAACAGGATGAGGGGAATGAAAAGGTAGTAAAAAAAGAGAGGGAAGTAGACAGCAAAGAGGAGGAGACAGAAGGGCAAGAAATAAAGAAGGAAAGAAATGGTGACAGAGAGGGAGAAGAAGAAAAGAATGGAAGAGAAACAATAGAAGAAGCGAAGGAGAAATGGAGAAGAAGATCAGAGGGAGATGCTGACGAGCTGGAAGGAGAAAAAGAGTGGAGGAGAAGAATGGAAACAGAAGGGACAAAGAGAAGAGAAGAAGAGTGGGAAAAGATATGGGAGGAAAGAATGGAAGAAATCAGAAAGGAAAGGAGAAAAAGAAGTCTGATCTGGAAGGGGGTAGAAGGAAAAAATCTAGAAGAAAGATTGAGCTATATTATAAAGATTTTAGAAAAGGAACTGGGACAAGAGGTGGAAATAAAAAGAGCAACAGAAAGGGTGGGAGAAGGGGGGAGAAACATAGTGTTAACAGAATTAGAAGAGGAAGACCGCAAGAAGGAAATGGTATGGACGAAAAATGGAATCTGGGACAGATGGAGGGTTGCGGTTGACGAGGATCTGCCAAAAGAAGAGAGAAGGATGAAATAGAGGATAAAAGAGAAGGCGAGAGAAGAAAGAAGAAAGGGGAACTGGGTGGAGTTCAATAACAGAAGAATATGGATAGAAGGAGAAGAATGGAAATGGAACGAGAGGGAAGAAAAATGGGAAGCCAGTAGACAGACGGATAGGAAATAAAGAAGTAAAGACAAAAAAAAAAAAAATAAAGCGAGCAAGGGCAAGAAGACAAGAGAGGAGAGAGAAAGATCAGCGCCAAGCTCAGGAGGGAAGAATGAGAAGTGAATCAAGTACAAAAACATTTAAGTTTAACAATTTTAAATGAATAATAAAGAAGGCCAAGTTTAGTTTGTTAGATGGCTACGTTTATTGATAAGGCAAAGAATCATAAGAGGATATAAGGCTGAAAACAAAGCAATAATTAAAGGCCTATAACTGTAAGTTGATACAAGGGCAATTTTTGAATTAGACGCGGAATTGGTTTAGTTTTGGATTAGGATGATTAAGGATAAGAGCAACAGTCAGTATATTTTGTTTGTATAATGTTTTTTGGCGGCAATTTTGTTTTAGCAATAAGTATTCTGGTATATTTTATTTTAATTTATATTATTATTTTGTATTATGAAGGAAGAAAGAAAATTGTTGTAAACAAGGTTGGGGAACGCTCCTTGTAAGCAAAAAAGCGCCTTGCAATCCCGAGAGGGAAGCCAATAAACTTTCATTCATTCATTCATTCATACCGACTTATTTTTGAGGGAGCCTGTTGGATTATCTGAAATAATCTTAGCGCAAAAATAAGCCGAGTGTTGAAGGACATTGAGGGCATGTCTTTGACTTTAACGGTTCTTAGGTTGAGACCGATAGCCTGTAGAGTTTCGCCCGGAAAAGGCCTGAGCAATAAACTCCAGGTACATCTATTTTTAGTTTTTCTCAAGTAAACCCAACAAGGGCTTTTCGTCACCTCTGTGAAGTTGGCCCCTCATTATCAAAAATTTCAAAAATTGATAAGAGTTCTGAATGCCACCATAAGAGTTCCAGAGTTCTCTATCAGTTTTAAAAATAGTTCCGTCGATTAAAGTACCGAAAATATCATTTGAAGGTATGGGGGGGCCAACTTCTCATTTTCGCAACTTTGAAGAGCTATAACTTTTTTGCTATCAACTTTAGCACTTTGGTTGTTAAGGATAATTGATAGAACTCTTTGGTCGGCTATCAGAACTCTCAACAAAATTGTCGATTACAAAAAAAAATTTTTTTTTGGTTAATTTTAGGGGTGAAACTTTTTCTTGGTAACA